GGCAGAGTCTAGACCCCTGCCCCCCCCCCAACCACACACACACGAAAAAGAGTATCACCACCACACTTTGTCTCTCAGGCAGGGTCTAGACCCCCGCGCCCCCCCCCCCACGAAAAAGCAGAAGAGAGGTATGGTGGCGCACACCTTTAATCCCAGCACTTAGGAAGCAAAGGCAGTAGGATCTCTGTGAGTTCAAGGTCAGCCTGGTCTACATAGTGAATTCTGGGACAGCCTGGACTAGTGAAAGTCTGTCTAGAGCTCATAACTGTCTGTAACTCGTTCCAGGGCTTCTGACTGTCACACAGACATACATGCAGGCAAAATACCAATGAACATAAAAACAAATTATATATTGAGGAACTAACTGTGGAGGAGAGACACCAGTGGAGAGTGAGGAGAGATGGGAGACTGCAGGAGTGGGCAAGTAAGAACAAGGTACAATGTGACGTATGAAAACCTCAGTGACACCTCCTGCTGCATGCTATAACTAAAACATTACAGAGCAGAGCAAACATTAACACAAATTTAAATCCAGACAGTTTCAAGGTCTCACCTTGCACCACCTGGGTGTCCATCTGGTTATGTTCATTAGCAAGTCTGCAAATCGAAGAGTCCTTCTGTGGTGAACCACACTTTGAAACCAAATGTTCTGTGATGAGAACATCACTAATTATTTTGGGGTAGGGAGTGGAAAGGTCAGTGAGTTCAACTCCCACCCCCTTCTCGGTGATTTCCACAACTCTGGCTTGGAGTTTGAGCCCCACAACACATGCTTGAAATCTTGCTGTAGCTTCTTTTGTCCAATGCTTGTTTTTGGGCTGTACATCTGGGAATTAAGAACAAGAACATTAAAGAAAATCCTATGAATGTGGTGAGCTTAGGACAGCAGGCGAGACTAAGTTCTTACATTCAATCAGAATGTAAGATTCTCAAAATTTATGCAGATGTGGTTAAAGGAAATTACATCTTTCAAACCCAAGTCACAGATACTACAGCTAACACAGAGTTAGGATGCTAAGGTCAACTCTCCCCAGCGAGATCTGGAGCTGCCATTACTCTCTTAGATGACAGCACAATATTGTGACCAACGAGAAGCTACCAACTGGTGACGGAACCTCTGCAGAGTCTCCAATGGCTTGTTCCCTTTTATTTTGAGACAGGGCCTCTCGACCTTGCCCAGGCTCATCTTGAACTCTTGGGTCCAGGTAGTCCTCTCACTTATCCCCTCATCAGCTGAGCCTGGAGGTCAGTGACAGTGCCACTGGCTTTTCATTCTCATCCTTTTTCCTTAGGCATGATTTCCAGCCATGAATGTGCATCTCAAATTACTCACAGCACTTGTTAAAACACAGATTTGAGGGCTCACTCCAGAGTTTCTCATTTAAGTCTGCACTGGGGACTATATCAGAATTTTAAAACAAGTTCCCTTGTTTGATGCTGCTGGTCTGGGGGCTACATTTTAAAAGATACAATGGCATGGAACACGAGATCTATATGATGGCTCCACATGTAAAAGTGCTTGCCACGCAAGCCTGAGCATTTGAAGTTGATTCTCCATTCTCAAAATGGAAGGAGTGAACGGAATTGCAAAAGTCGTCCTCTTATCTCCACATGTATACCCATGGCACGTAACTGCCTGCACGAGCACATCATACGTATATGCATATACACATATTCTTAACAACAGCAACCTACAGCATACCCACTGCACAGGATTAACAGATCGTGTGATGTTAAGTGTCTCCTCACGGCAGAACAGTCAGTAAGACAGACGGACAAAACAAAGACCTAAAAACATCTGTGCTTTCCAACATAGCCACAAGAGTCAGGCATCACCATCCACAGAAATAGCCAGTGGTGGCGTACACCTATAATCCCAGCACTCATGAGGCAGAGGCAGGCGGCTCTCTATGAGTTCAAGGCCAGCCTGGTCTACAGAGCCTGAGTTCTAGGACAACCAGGGCTACACGAAGAAACTCTGTCTCCAAAAACAAACAAATGACAGTAACCAAAACCTTCCAGAGAAACCGGGGTTTCAGAGCTCGAGTCCTGTGCTTATAAATCCTGGGCTGCAGCAAGTCTCCCAAGTGCTGAGCAGCTGACTGCGGCGGGCTCTGGGCCAGGCTGCCCCATGACTGGCGACTGTCAACGGAAAACACAGCTGCAAACACACACACACACTCCCTTCAATGTCTGCATGCACGGTGACACACGCTTGTCATTCCAGCAGTGGGGAGGCAAGGCGAGAAGACTCACTAGTGCCAGGTTCGACTACACAGAGACCGTGTCACAACAAAACAGACAACAAAACGCACTCAAGAGGAAGCATTCCTATGACAATTATTACAGGCGTATTGCCGAGCCTTGCTAGAGTCTTTACAGTTTTTCTCTGTTCTTTGGGACTATATTTCTCAGATAGGAAACAGATGGGCAGTTTAAATAATTTGCCTTGCCTTCTCAGCAGAGCTGGGTCCAGAGTCCCTCTCTGCACTGTGAGGCTGCCATGTCCCTCACACTTTTTCCTTCACGCGCTCCACAGGTACTCGTCTTCCTGTCACAGGTGTCTACACCGCATCTTAACACAGCAGCAGGGGGACAGCCAACACCTCGTCACAACTTCAGTCCCAAACGTTGTCCCAGTGCTAATGCACAGTCACCATCCTGACATGGGTCATGTGACCACCCACCCTCTACTGTTGGCTCTGTAAGTGATGGGCCTAGGATGAGTCTCCTTGCAGCTAGACCAGGTTGCTTTAGACTAAATTATTAGAAGTAAGTGCCAGAATGTCTGAGTAGCTGAGGTTCTCAGAGTCCTACAAAGCCCTTCAAGACAGTCCTCAGTTTTCACTCCCAGAACTAGGGAAATGTTTCTCCACATCAAACTGAGTATTTTGGCCAAAACACTAAGTTTCTACATTTTGTAGTGTGAGGTGGGATTTTCTAGCTCACTTGGAAGGCCAGCGTGGCCTTAGTAACTGAGGGCTACACACGGTTGGTTTGCCAAGGAGTCGACACCCACCTACGAGCCAGCACTGCATCCCTTGAAACGGAAGGAGTAAGAACGCTGGCGAGATGGCCCGGAGCTGGTCTGTGGTGACTTCCTCAATGTTGCCATAGTCCACGAAGCGCACTCTGACATTGCCACTCGGCAGGATCTCCTTGACCAGAGCCCGGTACCAGTTGCCGTCACCTGCAAGAGCACAGTCTCTGATGTCCTCTTAGAAAGCGTGCTGTGTGACACAGCTGGTAAGTCTGTTTGCTTCTATAGATTATAACTTTAGTTTTTCTTCAAAAATTCCTAGACCGAGAATTCCCAAGATTCATTTTTAGAGTATCTGCCAATCCTTTTTACAGCCCTGAGACCTGACATCTGACAAAAAACCAAAGACTTCATCCATACTCTATCCAGTAAACACCAAGTGGGAAATGATCCTGACGTTCTTACTGCTCAGGAGTCGGATGCTTTGGCCATCATTTGGTAAAACAACAAATGGTAAAAGCCTTGTGGTAAACTGCTTTTTACACCTGACCACTCGAGTGTGGAAGGATGCAGTGCTAAGGCAAGACTTCCTCACTGAGGACTCCTTACAGTAAGGCATCTTAAGAACCCTTTAAGTGTGATGATGGAAACGTGTGCTTAGACACAGGAAGGAAACATGCACCAGCACAAGGTCCAAATGCTAGGAACCAAAAGGTCTGCAGTCACTGACACCAACTCTCAAACTTACCTGCAAAAAATGCACAGCAAGGCCGTCCTACCTCTGCCTTGAAGCCATTCGGCAGCTTCTGTGTACAATAGTCGGCTAAGGATTTATTCAAATCATCAAGCTTCTTTAAAGCTGAAAACACAATACACAGAATGTATACTGTTAAACAGAGATTTGTCTTTAATGTCAGAGAACATTTTCATCATGAAAATCTCAAGTACATCCCAAAACTGGTAACTACAACAAATGTTGTTCCTTTCACAAAAATTCTAAGCCAATATAACAATATTCAGTTAAATTCTTAATAAACTGGAAACCAATGACTTCTTGGGCACAATGGCACAAGCTCAGAGGCACCATAGTGTGCCATTCTACAAGCTTTGCGCATAGAGAGGAGACCTTACACAAACCCATAAAGTTAATATTGTCCTGAAAATGTAAACATAATAACTAAATGCACAGCACAGTTAGTGGGCATCTAGAGGCCTGATGGAATTCTGTAGGGAAATACGCAGTGCACTACACTGAGAGAAAAGTCAGAGCCTCTCAAATGTAGCACCACAGAAAACCACAAGCAGCTGACAATCACCAACTGGGGAGCAGAGGCAAGGCGAGAATCAGGCAGGAGAGTGAGCCACTGAGGAGAAACAATGAAGACACAGAGAATTGCATCTAAAGGAAAGGGACCCAAGCAGCTACAGAAACCCGAGACAAGCAAATGCCTCTGAATTATAGCAAAGGCTATCACAGAAGTAGACATTCTAGTCAGGGAGCATCTTCCACTTTCAAGTGAGCAAGGATGCGCTGTGAAGATGGATGGAGCAGCATTCAGGGCACTGGAGTCTCCTGGCTACCTTCCTGAAGGACACAGGGCTCTCAAAAAGCACACGCGTCCACTAACCTATCCCTGTGATTGTAATTTATTCCAAGAATATGCTTTCAGGGATGGAGAGATGGCTCAGTGGTTAAGAGTGCCAACTGTGCTCCCAGAGGACCCAAGTTTAGTTCACAGCACCCACATTGTAGCTCATAACGACCTGTAACTCCAGTTCCCTCTTATGGTCCACACTGGCACTGCACGCATGTGGTATACACACGTATGCAGGCAAACATCCACAGACATTTTAAAAAGAGCAGTCTCAAGTAAAATCAGAATATAAGGACTGTAACCTCTATCAACACCTGTAAACGAGGATAAGACCACACAAATGGAAACAATGTAGCTATGTAAAATAATAGAGCCAAGACAGCATTATCCTGGACCTTATCTTAGGACAGGAAAAGGTCACCTGCTGGAAACCTGACACAACCAGTGCTGCTCTCCCAGATTCACCACAGACGCTCGGTGAGGGACACACAGAACTCTCCACACCATCTATGCAAATACCAAGTCTGTAACCTAACAACCTATTAACAAAGAAATATGAGACTGGGCGGTGGTGGCACACACCTTTAATCCCAGTACTCAGGAGGCAGAGCTAGGCAGATCTCTGTGAGTTCAAGGCCAACCCGGTCTACAGAGTGAGATCCAGGACAGGCACCAAAACCACACGGAAAAACCCTGTCTCAAAAAACAAAACAAAACAAACAAAAAGAAATATGTGAACTGGTATCTAAGATACTGAGAAAGATAAAGAGTACAGTTATGTGCATAGAAGGAACACACATCTGCATACATATCAGGCTGCTTCTGCAAAAGAACTGCAGCCCATGAGAAGACAGATGGGATGTTGTTTCCCACTATACACTCTGTTACTCCTGAATTTTGTACTATATACTTGGAAGTCCACCTATGCAAACAAATAAAAAGGAAATTTAAAGTTTTGACTCTTAATTCTACTTATTCTTATTTTATATGTAAGAGTGTTTTGCCTGTGTGTACGTATACCATGTGACTGCCTGGTGCCAAAATGGAGCTCAGGAGAGGGCGTCAGATTCCCTGCAAATGGAGTCTCAGATGGTTGTCAACTGCTATATGGCTGCTAAGAACTGAACCTGGGTCCTCTGCAGAAGCAGTCGGTGTCTTAACCATAAAGCCATCTCTCTAATACCCAGGGTTTTGTTCTATATGAAATAGTAGCCCCCCTCCCAAGTGATTCTAAATGAAGAAATTATGTATCTCAAAACTTGAGTTCGACAAAGACTTAGATATCAAGTCTAATGTATTATTTTGGCAGAAAAAAAAAACCAGTGAGTTTTAGAAAAGTAAACTCCATGATGCTCATTCATCAGAACAGCTCAAATGAAACAGAAAATATAACGTATGAGGATGTGGGGTGAATAGAAACCTCCAAGTGACAACTGTCAGAATTATGGGAAACTGATTCAAGATGAAAAGATGGCTAGCACTAATGACGCCACAGAAATGCATGATGACGCCACAGAAATGCATGATGACTCCACAGAAATGCATTGATGACTCCACAGAAATGCATTGATGACTCCACAGAAATGCACTGATGACTCCACAGAAATGCACTGATGACTCCACAGAAATGCACTGATGACTCCACAGAAATGCATGATGACTCCACAGAAATGCATGATGACTCCACAGAAATGCATGATGACTCCACAGAAATGCATTGATGACTCCACAAAAATGCATTGATGACTCCACAGAAATGCACTGATGACTCCACAGAAATGCATGATGACTCCACAGAAATGCATGATGACTCCACAAAAATGCATGATGACTCAACAGAAATGCATGATGACTCAAAAGAAACGCACTGATGAGCAGAGGTAAGTGTTCACATTACCATCATTTCAAAGGTGGCCACGTGCCACAAAACAGAATTAGAGACTGCTGTACACTCATACAATGGAATATTATTCAACAACAAAACAACACGTGAAGAAATAGTAACCAAGGCAAAGGTGAAAATACATATTACATTGGCTTTGTTTCATGTTGAGGTTCACAAACCAGGAAAAATCAATCTATGCAGGACCCCACTTCCCTCTGAAGGAGGAAGAATGTATAAGGAAAAGAAAAGGAGTGCAGGAAACTTCTGGGATATCGAGTAACATTGTCTTTGTTGATGAGCCATCTACCAGGCTGACCTGTGACCTTTACACTGCGCTCCTGTTATAGCATTTGGTCTCCATGAATGTAACAGTCGATGGGATTAACAAATACATTTAATTTCCAACAATGATGTCAGGAGACATGCTATGAAATCTAAAATGGTTTAAGCACACAGAGTAGGGGCCATAAGAAAGAATAAAAGCAAACTAAGTGCAATCAAGTTTTTTGTGGAAATTCCTGCTTGCCTGCATAGAGTGCTTTTATCATGCAATAATACACTCTTCACAAGTTACCTACTAATGCACTATAGAAAAAATAAATGAGAAGAGCCAACTTACCATCATCTTTAAGAAAGTGGCAATAGAACTCCCCAGGACTGTACATCATGCAGACCATCACATCCACTGTTTCATCAACGCTGAACTCAACCCATGTCCACTCCAACGGCTCAACTCTTTCTTCTATGGCCAAGGGAACTGTGAAAACTGAACATTTTGCAAAAGGAGGAGACATAGTTGAGATAGGGGAGCGGTCACTGGCAGAGCTGTGGAGGAATCTGGAAAAGCTGATCTTTTGGTGAATTTATAGGAAAGTGAATCCCAAAATTCAGGATTTCAATTAACCTTGTCACTTGAGTGAACATCACACATTTCTGATGAATCAAACTTTTGACACGAATCTCTGATTACACACCTGGAATGTATTTACGTGACCGCTCAACTGAAAAGGCACTCCAACATAGGTTCTCCTGAAACCCTGGCCCACATACTCTCGGAGCTGTGGGATCCAGCCTGGTGCTGCTTGCTGGACAGCCTACTTACCGTTGGCTGTGTGCACACTGTCGCTTGTGTCTGCCACTGTCTCCGGTTCCTCAACAGCAAAGCCTGAGTCTATGAGCGCTTTAGAAGCACTGACGTGAGGTGTCACCGACTTGTCCACAAGCTCCACCAGGGACCTGGTCCCCAGCGTGCCCACCACTCTCACGGCGACCATCTTGTTCTGCACAATCTTTTTCATGAGACAAATCGCTTCTGGAGTCCAAATTCCTAATGATGGCTTCACTCCTAACAAATAATTGTTAAAAGGACATTAAAATAATCCCTAAACCAAGCATTTTTACACTTAACTTCATTTCCTCTAAGTTAAATCTATGTCAAACATTGGAACCAAAAGTCCCATCAGAGCAAGATTTCATAAACATGAAAAATAGCAGAATTAAAAATGCTTCGGTATCTTAATGTAAAAAAAAAAAAAAAAAATCTTAATTCCATCCATAGAAAATGTCCCAAAAGTGAAATCTACAGAGAAAGAAAGATCAACCATGCCTGGTGACAGCTGTCCTGTAAAACATGAGACCTCAGGGTGTGATGGAAATGCCCTCCGACAGATCCTGGTTAGCAGTGTACAACTCACTTAAGTTGACAAAGAAACTAGTGAATTTTATACCTAAAAAAAGGATTCCTACAGAGTCTAAATTACAGCCCAATAAAGCAATTAAGGTAATTATAAAGATATAAAACACCCCAGGAAAAAATACTGGCTTTACATATTCACATGTGAGGAGTTTTTTGAGTTTCAATGCAAATCAACACTGGAAGATATTCATAAATAATTCAAAGGTATGGCTAGAGTCAGTATAAAACTAAAGCTGAGTAAGTGCCTCCCCCTAACCCCGCTCCAGCCTCTGTTAATGAAGCAAACTGAACTGATTTGGAAAACGACTCAGGCTGAAGTGCTGCAGAGGTGTCTCTGGAGCACAGATGTGTGGCAGGATCCATTCCCTCTGCCTTTTCTGTAGGGTGCACAAGCAAACTCAACCCTTTCCATGGAACTGGAGACAGTATGTCCCACAGTCACAACAAGACACACACACTCATGGACACCTCATCATCATCTGAGGAAACATACCCTTTGGAGGGATTTTTGCAGTATGGTCTTGCAACATATCCAAGGGAAGTGATATTGGAAATGATGCAAAGGCAGCCAAAATAATTAAAAGAACATCACTGCTCAAAACTCAGAAATGTCTGATGTTAGATACAACTGTAATAATGGTAGACCTGTGATGTTTGCTGAAGACAATTGTCCCATACAGGAGGAAGCCCTTGTTCCTATGGACAAGCACCTACCCAGCTAAGCCTGTGATCTCAGTTCTCACTATTCCTCCAAGCAGGTCTCCCTGCTACAAGTGTCTTTTTCACATTTCCATTTTCAATTTTAAGTTTTAATATTTGAAGAACATTTCATACCTGCCAGCACACAATTTAGAGCTTGCATTGGCAAGTCCAACAACTTTGGAATTATGGGACAAAGTCTTTTCAAGCTAAGAATTTCAAAGTTTCCATAATCAACATATCCAACCAGGACAGATTCTTCAGAAGCATAGGCCAGAACCGAGGCACGGTACCACTGGTCATCCTCTGAAACAAGGAGAGAATCATCTCAGACACCCCACAGCCAGTACAAATGCTTCCCAACTAGAGATGGTCACGTACACATTCTGCTGTGATAACAGGGGCTCAGCACACATGCTCACTAAACACTGCAGTTCTGCTTATCAGAACCCTCACATTGCCAAAGCTGGACCACTGCGGCCAGCTTACTAATTGCATTCCTTTTTTCCTGCAATCAAATACCTGATAAACAACCCAAGGGAAGAAAGACTGATTTTGCTCATGGTATCAGAGGTGTCAGTCCCATGGTGGCTGGGCATGGAGGGGCAGACCAGCTCACACCTTGGTGTGAGATCCAGTCAGTTGACAATGACGACCAACCATCATGCTATAGTACACAATATCATTATGAATTTACAGGATTCGTTTCTCCAATAGCTTTCTAGTATATAGCCCAGCAGGAGAGAGAACACATTCCAACCATGTGACCCCCCAAGGCATATCAATTACTTGCTAAAGTTGCCAAATAAGGCCATTCCTAGAACACTGCAGCAGCAGCAGTTCAATGGATCCGACCAGAGAATGACCCACCAGCAGCTTCCCCTCCGCTCTCAGTGAGCTGGCTGGGCTGCCCTAATGCAAGGGTGACAGAACTGGGCTTCCACAAAGTCAAACTTCCGGACCCACAAAGGTCACAGCAGTGTCAGGCCTCCAGGCCCTCGACAAAGCTCATGAAGGAGAGAGAAGAAGGTTCTGTTTCCCATACTCACGTAAGCTGGACTGTTGGTGCTCATATCCAAATAGTAAGGAATTGGTTAAAAAAATAGTTTAAAAAAAAAATCACGGCCGGGCGGTGGTGGCGCACGCCTTTAATCCCAGCACTCGGGAGGCAGAGGCAGGCGGATCTCTGTGAGTTCGAGGCCAGCCTGGGC